ATGAGGATACTCCGGACTATGGAATTGAGTGTTCCATATCTTCTTTCTACCTTTCTGGTCCGGTGTCTTAGCTATTGCTTTGCCTTTTTTAGAGCGGGCATTGCCTTGTGTCGGTTGTGTAACCTGTGATGGTTGTGGAGCATCAACATCATACTCATGATCCTCTTGATGTGTTGCATCATACTCATGCTCATCATGATGTGTTGGCTCCTCTTGATGTGCTGGCTCCTCTTCATTGACCTCCTCCTCTATGTCCTCTTCGTTCTGGACATAACGCCGTTTATTAGCTCTGGCGGCGCGGCTACCTGGTGCATACACGTCACTGGACTGAGCACCATGGCAAGAAAGCATAGTTGCCATCTTATGGAACCGCTTCTTGAACTTCTGCGACAACACAAAAGATGCTATGATATGAGATCCAAATAACTAATCCGCGAAAAAAACTTTTATAATATATTGCGACTAACCTCCATCGTGCTCCTAAGAGTCCTCTCAGATAATGCACCACCAGGTGGATGACTCAGTGCAACATTGGCATCGTTGACGCACAGAAGCAACTCTCTGCCCTGCAATTCATGAACACACCAAACTTATGTATTTGAAAGAAGACAACATGATGCAAGTATGTTAGAATAGGTCAAACAGACTACCATTTCGTCATGCATCGGTGCGTAGTCAACATGAGCCCCTCTGGTGTCTCTCACAGCCGTGTTGAAGGTATGATAACCTTCTGCAGTCTCCGGGTCTTCAGACACCAACTCCGACCATTCCTCGTGAGTCCAACCTGGCTTCAGCTTTAACCAGTAACGATCCGCATACCACACTTGATACTTCTGATATGCTGACTGATTGTGAGGTCTATTCTCTGATTGAACTAACGTGTCTCTTTGATTCCAAATTTCTATCCACGCACGGTGTTTGTTTGCCCAATCCGATATATCCTGATTGTTCCTTCGATCGAACCTACAAATGATGCACGGGACAAAGCATTAGCAAACACTGACTTATTCAATGCTCTACTACATACTCAAGGCATGCTTGCTTACCGATGCAGAGATAGCATTTCCTCCTTGCTCTCCTCAATTGGAATACCTTGTCTTTTTCCAAATTGTCTTGCCACACGGTCTACAAAGTGCCACTCGACTGCGAAGAAGCATATCATTGGGCACCTCGCCCGCCAAAGATGGCTATCACGCGTGCACATCTCATTAAGATCAAAGTCACGATCTTCCACATAAGGCAACCAATGTACCTGCAAAACAAAGAGATACATTGTTAGCTACATACATAAGTTTCATTCTTGACTAAATTTTATCTCATCGAACTTCTCATAACCTGCTCAGCAGTCAAGGTGTCTAGCTCGTTCATATAGCACTTGTATCGCACATGCGAGCTTCCTGTGTACACTGTCACTTGTTCCCAATAGTAAGCAAGCGTAGGGCGCCGATATGGATCATCATCATGCAACCCGTCATGATTACCTCGTGGGTTTGCCATGAGGGGGTTCTTCAAATCGGGCCGTCCAACCGGGATCCGCTCCCACATCCACACGGATAGGCTCCAAACAAATCCAGACAATGAGGATGTACCTCCATTCCTCCGACACGCCAAGTCAAGCTGCAATCAAACAAACATGTTAGATATGGAGGCGCATGACAAATGCAAAAAAATTGGTTGCAAATATCTCTTACCTGACGATACAAGTATGCTAGTGCGGCCGAACCCCAGCTATACTGGGTATCCCAGTTATTAAGTGGCTCCAAGAACATCCAGAGGGCTGAGTTCCCGGTTGCATCTGAGAAGACTACCTTGGTTAGTACATACCAAAGATAGGCCCGCGCGTACTGCTGCACAACCACGTCATTGGCATCCTGAGGGCACGGGTTGGTGTTTCCTCTGACCAGTTTTAGCCAAGAATGCCTCACTTTCGCTGTATCGGTCTTGCCTTCCTGAGGGCCCTCGGGCTGAACGCCAATTAAATCGGCAGTCCGTTCTCGCCAATTACCCACGCTGACACGACCGGTAACAGCTTGTCCATTGATAGGAAGGCCGCTTATCATAGCCATGTCCTGTAGGGTCATCGTCATCTCCCCACATGGAAGGTGGAAGGAGTGAGTCTCCGGCCTCCAACGATCCACAAGTGCGGTCAGCGCCGCGTGGTTCACCGGCGGAGCGTGTCGCTTAAACTGCAACACGAATGGGAGAAGACCCAATCTCCGAATGTAAGGCTCATACCGCGGGTCGTAATCAAAGTCATCAGCGGAATGACCCCTCATGCGCATAGCAACTACAACCTGCAAATAAAGTGATGTTTTAATAATCAATACAAGAACACAAATGAGAAACAACGAAAATTGACCCAGTCTTGCTTCTTACCTGTCCATTTTCAATGGCACGAGCACGATGCTCCTTATCCCACTCATCGATTAATCCGTCATACCAAGTTCCATCACCATCTGCCATCCTACAAAAAAAATTCACAAACATCTATGAATACATGAACAATATCAAACAATTTCCTTCTCCAAGTTTATTCCATATGAAAACACCATTCTTCTCAAACATAACCACATCATTTCTTTCTTCTACATATGCACACATATCATCTAGAGTACCAAATTTCACCATCAAATATATTTCATTATCATCATCCGCCATTCTATTGAACAAATCATGTCACACACAATAAGAAAATTTCATCATCTCTTTTGCATAAATTTTTTTGCCAACAATAGTATGCCAACAATAGGATTATCTACACATACACACATCATCTATCAAACCAAATATAGTATGCCAAAGTCTATTTTACATACACAAATCATATATTCATCACCCCTCTTAATTCAAAAAAAAATCCTATGGACAACATATACACAAAACCGAATTGATTTTACCTACATGTTCAACTACACATCATCTACTGCATACCTAATCATCTATCAACTACACAAAATTTTCTAAAAATAAGAAACCATCTACTCATCTAACATCACCTAGTGTTGAATAATGCATCCAACCAAAGAGGGGAAAACAAAAAAAAATTGGAGGGAATGGGGGAGAATACCTCAAAGAAGCTTGGGGGGGTCCGATCTGTGAGTTTGAGGGGTTGATGGAGTAGATCAAGGGTGGTGGTGGTGGGAGGGAGAGAAGGGGCGAAGAACAGAGCCCTCTGTTCGTCGTGCGCCGCCAGGAGAAAGATGGGGATGGGTGGGCTGGCCCGCGCGGTTATCCACTTACCGGGGCCAGACGCCAGGGACCCTGGCGTCTGGCCCCTTTGCCACATCAGCAGGTCAACGGGCAGGCGGGCAGTGCGGGCCAGGGGCCAGACGCCAGGGACCGTGGCGTCTGCTTCGTAACCCAGACGCCAGGGACCTTGGCGTCACCGAAAAAGATCAGAAACGAATTTTTTTTTGAAACGAGGTCAAATCGGGATTTAGTTTGCCTTAAGGGTCAGAACAGTAATTTTGTCCACCGAATGCATTATGATAATATAAAATGAAAACTGAGGCACAGCAGCTGCCCATTTGGAGCCCAATGATGGCGGTCGAACCGTGGTTTAAAAGCTCAATATCGAAGCATGATGGCTAATGATGGCGATCCACGGCATGGCACGTCCCATGGCGCATGGCGAGGAGAGGATCAGCAGCGACCATTGCCGCTGGCCGCGCGCCGGCCGGTCCCAGCCCCTGACACGGCGCGTGGGCTGGCTCTCCGGCGCGGCGCCCAGCGGGAATGGATCCGCCATCCGCGACAAAGCAACACCGGGCCTCTCAAAGCAAACGAATATTCAATATATACCAACAGTACCACGCGTACAACTAAGCCGAACTGAGCTCTGAGCAAGCATCGTAGTACCACTACGTAGAGAGAGCGGTACCAAGCAAGATCCATGGAGCCGCTGGGACGAGAGAGAAAAGGCGATGGGTGATGGCTCGAGGCTTTGGAGGGATGCAGTACGTACTACTTGATCAGTGGATCGGTCGATGACAAAGGTCCAAATGTTGGTTGGTTCCTTCTTTTTTTACCGTGGTAGGGGAGTAGTAGTTGGAGGGAGAGGAATCAATTGATTGATGTGAGGGACCAGGCAGTGAGGTAGAAATAACATGCAGGCGGAGGCAGAGGCAGGCAGGGGGCAGTGGTGGTGTTTATTACTGTGGTCATAGGATGGGAGTGTGCAATTCTGGTGTAAGCCAACCTGAATGCAGCTAGCTAGGGGACAGCCCAATCTTACCCCATCAATAATGTGAGTGCAGGGCGCAGGAAAAAGAAAGCATAGCCAAAAACTGCACCTAGCATCCTCTCCTCTCCTCTCCTCTCCTCTCCTTCCTCGCTCGCTCACATGGACCACCGCAACCATCATCATCACCTTCTCCATTCACCTCTGTCTGTCACCATGGTCGGGAGGAGTAGTAGACTAGTATATCTTTCTTCCCTCACACCACACCGACGAAGCAGGCCAGAAAGCTAAAGGCACTACTGAGTTGAGTTGACAACATTCCACTACTGCTACTCCCTCCAGTAGTATATGTGCGTGGAGTTGTAGTCATGCATCCACAGCACGGAACACGCAAAGCAAACCAAAGCGAACACAATGGCGATATGCATGCAAGAAGGAAACCACCAGCAGCACCTTCTTAGTCTCGAATTATAAAAAGCACCATCATCTCTTATGACAACTATAGATAATTACTATACCTACCTTCGCCTTCAAGGAAGTTCACTTTTTTTTGCTGAGAAAATAAGCTAAGTAAGAGAGAAAAAGGAGCGAGCTAGATGGGATGGGACTCGTTTCCCATGTATACTGACTGACTGACTGAGCCGGTGATGGACGACGATGACGACGACGATCTCAGAGTTCCTTCCTTCCGGTTGGCTGGTTGGTTGGTTGGCTTTGAACAGAGCGGCGGCGGTGAGAAGAGAAGAGAAAGGAAAGCACCCGCCGGCCACTGCACTGCACTGGGTACAGCACAGCGGCGGCGGCCACGATCCGTCTCCTCTCACATCACCGAGCAGCTGTTGGGGTTCTCGTCGCTGAAGTAGTTGTAAGGGTCCGCGTGCGGGTGCGGCTGCATCGGCATCGGGTACGCCATGGGGTACGGCATGGGCGGCCGCCCGTACCCGTACCCCATCGGCATCGCCGGGTACCCCGCCGGAGCGCCACCACCGCCGTGGTGAGGGTGGGGGTGGGCGTGCGCGTTCAACATCGCCGCCTGCTGCTGCTGCTGCTGCTGCTGCATCATCATTTGTTGCTGGTGCTGCATCATGGCCATGTACTGCTGCTGCGCCATGGGGTTCCCGGCAGCCTGCATCATCTCGGCGGGGCCGGACGGCATGCCGCCGCCCGCGCCTCCCTGGAAGAACCCAGGTGGAGGCATGCCGCCGGCCGGCATGCCATGAGCGACTCCGCCACCGCCCTGCGCGCCTCCCATGTGGGGGTGGTGGCCCATGGGCCCTCCCATCGGGCCCATACCACCAGGAAAGCCAGCAGCGCCCATCATGTTAGGCCTCATCATGGCCTGCTGCTGCGGCGGCATGCCGATGCCGCCCATCGGTCCAACGACACCGAGGCCGGGGCCACCGCCGCCGCCCTTCTTCCCAGGTTGGCCCGGCTGGCCCCCGCCGCCCGGGGCGCCTCCTCCTCCTCCTTTGGCGTTGTTCGCCTGGCCACCGCCTCCATTCTTGCCCCCGCCGTTGCCGTTACCGCCCCCGCCACCTTGGTTCTGCTTGCCACCTGCGTCTTTCTTGCTACCGCCACCGCCACCGCCACCGCCGTTGTTGGGGTTCCCCTTGATCTGCACGGGGATCTCGTTGCCACCCTTCTTGCCACCATTGTTGCCGCCCTTCTTGTCCCCCCCACCGGCGTTCGGTGGCATGGCCATCGGCTTCATCATCATCTTGGGGTCGTCGAAGTAGTCGTCGTCGAGGCCGTCATCGTCGAAATCATCCTCGTCGTCGAAGTCGTCGAACTCGTCGTCGAACTCGCTGCCGTCGTCCCCGAACTCATCCTCTGGTGGGAGGTTGAACTTGACGGACTTGGGGTCCTTCATCGGCGCGGCCGCTGCGAACGGCATCTTCCCGTCCATGAACTGCGGCAGCTTCATTCCCTTCATCTGCATCTGCTGTTGCAGCTGCTGAAGCTGCTGCGCCGTCGGCGGCGGCATCATCATCTTTGCGTCCTTGCTAGCACCTCCGGCGCCACCGCCGCCGCCACCACCTTTCTGGCCCTTGGCACCGCCGGCGTCCTTGGACTGGCCCTTGCCACCGGCGTCCTTGGCCTGGCCCTTGCCACCACCGTCAAGTTGGAGCTTCTGGAACTGGTTAGCCATGCCAGCCTTGGACCCCCAGAGTTCGGCTGGCTTGCCAGCCTTGGTCAGCTTCTTGATGATGGTGTCCGGATCCACCATGCCAGACACCGTCACCTTCCCCTGCTCCGGGTCTATGCTGGATTGGTACACCCCTGACGATGAATTCAACACATCTCCGTTACCGAAAATTAACCAAAAAATGCAGACATAACAAGCAAGAGCGAAACTGAAGCAATTAGATTACTATAAAGGCTTATCTTCTCACCTTCGATCTTGTGCAGGATCTTCTTGACCTTCTTCTGGCAGCCATCACAGTGGATGTTCACTTTGAGCACGCAGGTCTGGGAATTCCGGAGGAACAGAGAACGCAGGGTCACCAAAATAGCAAAACAAGGAGGTTTGGAAACACAAGATAGCGGGGGACACGGGAGGAAACACAGGTGAAAAGAAAAGTAAAGTAAGGCAGAGCTGCGTGCGTGCCTAATCAATCAAAGAATGGCAGCAAAAACAAGAAGGAGCACGGAATGTCTTGAGTTGAGACGAAGCAAGAACGCACCTGTATCTTGAGGACCTCCTCCTTACTCATCCCGGACCGCCTCAAGTGCCCCGCAACTGCCCAGATCTGTCATACGGAGGCCTCAAATCAGACGAAGAACAAACAACAACAACGACAACCAGGAGGAAAACATTGCTCTCCTGAGAGAGAAGGTGCGGTATGATCAGAAGGGAGAGGGAGGAAAAAATGCCTTCTCGCTGGAGATAACTTGGTGTCCGGCAATATAATATCTCCCCACACACACTCACACGCAAAAGAGTAAGCGCAGCGGAGAGAGAGAGAGAGAGAGAGAAAAGGAACAGGGCTGTGGCTTATTAGAGTTTGTGTGTTTGCAGAAAACCAAGAGGGAGGGGGGCTTGGTCTATTAGGCCTCTGTGGTCCAGAGGAGGAAGAGGGGTTGGAGATGGCGAGAGGAGAGGAGAGGAGAGGCTTCCTCTCTCGCAAGCTAATGAGCACGGGCACCACCCTCCATCTGCTTACCCTTTTATTTCGACCTTTGGCCTTTGGCACTGGAGCGGAAGCCTTTCCCTTTGCCCTCCCCTCGGCCGATTCTGTGTGTGAAATCCTACTCCTACAAAAGACTAGCCAGGGAGAGAATTAAATACCCTTTGTCACTTGTCAGTAAGTACAGGGAGTAGTGTACTGCTGCGCTTACCGATGCCCCTCCCCGCTTCTTTTTTGCAAAAGCGTACATGCAAGTCTTGTTCAACTCAACTGCCAATTTCATATCAGTCCCTCCCTCTCTCTGACTTCAGTTAGACTGTTTGTAGAGCCTACTAGGAGTATTTCTCTCGGGACGTGAGGATAACTGACCATCAGAGGAATATTCCGTTAAGTTTATGTACCGCTTGTATTTGTCTCTGCTTGCTTGGTCTAGGAATGCCAATGTGGGGTGACAAACTGGGTTTGAACCTCGACTACATATACAAACACGTTTCATACCCATGTTTAGTGACATTTTAGTTGAATGCGTTATGACAGCTTGTTTATGCAAAATGCTTTTAAGACTGGTTAGGGCGAAATCCAGGTAAGACTATGTAAAGTTCGATCAACCAGAATGTTAGGATCCTCGGTTTGAGAGGACGAGTAAGCTCATTTTTATTCATGAGCAATGCTTTCCATAAGTTGAGTCAAGAGTCTGGGGTGGCACCTCCTTTGCGAAGAAGATACATTGCGTCAAAACCTTATGTTAGGATATACACGCAATCAAAACATGAGTTAGTTTATTTGTTAGCTTGGCTTAACATGTTTCGTATGCTAGGATTCTGCGTAAGAAGAACTACACGTATGATTTTGTATTGTTGCAAATGCATTTCGTTAGATTCTGAGTCACAGGAGCATGCCCTAACGCTCTCCATGCATACCGTTAGGTTTTGAGTGTTTCCCGCCAACCAAAAGATGAGTTAGCTCATTATTATCATATTTTTAACGTATAGAGACTGTGTGACGATAGCATGAGTACGACAAGAGTCACTAGATTTTCCGTTATAGTTTACTTCCCGCATACTTATTAATACATGCGAAGAATGAGTGTGTTGCGTTCGTATGGAATGTTGGACGTGTGTGCTCTATCGCACATCCGACAAATCTTCACGGAACCATCCATATTGTATATGTCAATCGATAAAGTTAGTTAAAGACACCATTGTTCACTACGTAGTGATTCTCTTGATGCAAACATATTTCATATATATGTTTAGTGATTATTTAGTTGAATGTGTTATGTCGGCTTTCCGTAATGAGACGCGTTTGGGAAAATTCATGCAAGTCTATGCAACATTCGACCAACCAGAAGATAGTTCGATCAAGTTTATCCGGTTCAACACACATTTCATGCATTATCCTAGGATCCTTGGTGTGAGAAGATGAGTTCACGAGTAATGCTTTCCCATAGGTCAAGTCAAGAGACTGGATTGATGCCATCTTTTCGAATAAAATATATTGTGTCAAAAATTTCAATATACACGCACCTAAAAATGAGATGGTCTGTTTTTAGCTTGATTTAACATCAGTATGTTAGAATCATATGTAAGGAGTACCACATGTCCGATTGTATGTTTTACGTGCATATTTCTAGGCTCTAGAGTTAGAAGAGCATGCCCTAATGGTATGCATGCATACCGTTATGTCTTGATTGTATCCCGCTAACCAAAAGATGTGCTAGCTTATTCTTATCCGGCTATAATGTATAGCTACCGAGTGAGGACAACATGAGTAGAATCACACATGAGATTTTTCATTATAGATTATTCCATGCATAGTCGTTATTAGTAAATGCTACGAGTGAGTGTATAGCGTGCGTAGAAAAAGTTAGACATGTGTTCTATGTCTGACAAATCACTACAGAATTACCCCTATTCTATATCGCAACCGAAAATTTTAGTTAAAGATGTCATTGTTCAATAGTGACCGTCCCTATGTGTTGTTGATGTACTTCCTGCTTAGAACAATATAATATACATCTGTTATGGCATGCATTGTCTACAGGACTCGACCATTTCACGGCAAATGCACATGAGCAACACATTGCTATCAAACCCCATTACAACCAACACCACTTTTGCACCTACACCTCATACCTCGTTGATCATCATATTCATTCATTTTACCGGGTTTTTCTGAAGCATAGAGTTGTTTTCTTCCACACATTTCCCTTCTGGATCTCTGCATCGACTTTGTCCGAGCTCGCTTGACCCTTTGTGACGCCTGTGTGGTTAGTTTTTCGCCAGGAAACCACTGACGCAATCATTTACTTGCAAATATGTGTGGTGGCTAGCCCACACCACCTGACCAACAAGCAATGGTTGTATTGCCACGTCACTGCCACCACCACTTCTTAACTTTAGAGTATCGCCTTCACATCCCTCTTTACAGTATTCACATTATACTATAAGCCTCGGGTTGAAGAAACAGAGGGATTGACAAAAATTGTAGTATATGAGGAGGAAAAAGCGGCATCGCCCTATAAGCCTAACATGTAATGGTTGCCCTTTAGCGTTTCCATATTTAATAGGTATGAAATCATTACGACCTTTACCAAAACAGTGTCGTCCACAGATCAAAGTATTTCATGGAGTCACTTCACCGTATTATTAAGTATTCTCCACCTCCTTGCTAGGGGTCTTGTTGTTTTTTATGGGTATGTAGTCAACATCTCAGAGGTTAATGTGTGAACTAATATCACATTTAGAAAATAAAGTCATTTGATTAACATGTTGAGGGGATGTTAACGAACCTATTAACCCTTCATAATAGAAGACTATGAACTAGACAGTTAGTCCTCTAAGGCATGTGTCCTGGGGCAATTGCAACTTAGTCAGTGTTAGCATGGTGCATACACGTGTATTTGACATCATTGACCACATGTTGTCTTTCCACGAGCACTTGATACTTCCCATGGAGTGGCTACCAAGGACCATGCAAGGGCATTGCTCATCAAGCGGCCTCCTAGTCATGACTACACTGATTAATGGCACCATCCCATGCATCCAAGCCAAGTGAGCACACTCTCTCTGTGAGTGTGTGTGAAAGCGGGAGTTAAGTTGCATAGTTATGGCTTTTGGTTACCCCTCCCCCCGGCACTCAAAACCTGATGCTCTTTTTCTGCCGTCACCCACTCCGAACCCGAAATGACAAATGGATAGATCATGTGCCAAACGAGGGTACAATAATCCTTGCAACAAACCAAGCTCTGCCTCCTTTCTCGGGCGACAATTGGCGACCAACTCCCATCCTCAATCTCCGCCGGCAAGGGCGTCGGTCCCCTCTCCCCTCGCTTGCTGCTTCGTCGGCAAGAGGGGGGGTCTCCTTCCTTCGTTCTGGCCTAGTAGGTAGGGTTAGGGTTTGTCTGCTGTGGTGCGTCGTTGGGATGGTGGAAGCGGCGTCTGGGCGAATAAGTCTGCCTCAATTCTATTCCAACATCGGCGACAACCTTCACGGCGGCGCCTCAGAGTTGATGGCAATGTGTGCTTGTCGTCCTTCCACCGTTGCGGTCCTGACAATAATGGTGGTGGTGACATGGAATATATTTGCTTTACATTCAATTCTGGTGGGTCGCTGTGAGGCGGCCGTCGGAGGATCTGGTAGCAGGCTAACCAATCAAGGCTGGTGCGGCGGTGCCGGCCTCGAGGTGGATTTTATGCCCAGGCCCCTCTGTCGTGATGACGCGCGCTCCGGCATCAACATGGGGGCATGTAGCTTTTCTAGGAGTGTGGTGACTCTGGTTTGCAGGTTCTCGTCGGTGGCGGTGCTTCATCGTCATCGCTCAACAAGTTGTCGCAAAGTGGAGACGCTGTTCCAATCTAGCTTATCTCCGGCGGGCTGGTCCTCCTAGACCGAGGATGGTGAGTTCCTGACCTCTTTAATCCGTGCGCCCAACCAAGGGTAGACCTCGCCATGGGTAGCCCGGCCCAGACGACCCGACCCGGCCCAAAAATCCCGGGCAGGGTTGAGCCCGAGTGTGCCATTGGGCCGGGCTCGGGCCTGGAAACTGATCCCGACGGGCAGGTCGGGCCGGGCTCGGACCTACACAAAACACATTTTTAGTCGTAGTCGGGTCGGGTCGACTGGGCCGTGTTGGGCTTTCTCGGGATCGGGTCGGGCTCGAACCCGATTTTGTAGGCCCGATGGCTGGGCCGGGCTCGGGCCTGGGTGTTTAGCACCAGGCTTTTTTTGGCCCGTCCCGACCCAAGATATGCCCAGGTATAACCAAGGGTTTCATCGGCTCCTGCGGTGACTTGCCCGCATCCCGCATTGGTGGTGTGGCTATAGGTTTCCCAGGATGCTATTTGTAATTTCTTATTTTTATGGGGTTGAGTTGTACTTGTACCACTACTTATTTTCAGTTTAATCTGAGGTCCTTCTCGACAAAAAAACAAGGGTCTAATCTTTAGGCGAGGAAGTAAATTAGAATTTTCATAGTAGAGCTTCTCATAGTTGGTCATAGCATTTTCTATGGAAAAGAGTAAATAAAAAATATTTTTTTACACTAGAGATAGTTATGTGTGGTTATCTTTACCAAATTATAAAAT